CGTCATCCCTCGCTCCATCACAGTGACCCCCATCATCCCTCACTCCCATCATCCCTCGCTCCGTCACAGTGACGCCTGTCAGGTCTACCCTCCCATCATCCCTCAGTCTGTCACAAAGTTACCTTCTTGCTGAAGGGCCATTCCAAAATGGCGTCGTACCTTCCCTTCATTATGACCAGGAAGAGCGAGAGATGAGTGTTTGCTCCAACACCATCCCCGTTGAGGTAGAGCCGCAGACACAGCATGTATCCACAGTGAGAGGTGAAGAACGCTGCAGGACAGAGAAAGAAGAGCGATCAATGGATTATCCTGACTTACCCGTAAGAAACTCTCTCTCTCCCCCCCACAGAGACCCAGCACCACAGTGACTGTAGGGGGGGGGATCTCCTCCCCAGGTAACGGACCTGAAATCAGAAGTTTGTATCAGGAATGGTGACCGTGCCGATCTGTTTGTAAAAGAACAAAACCCGCTTCATGGGTCTGGGGTCACGTGTAATGTGGCTGATGCCCAGTAGTATCTGGTATCGCCAAGAGAGAGAGAGAGAGCAACATATCCGCCATGATCAAATGGCAGACAGACTCGATGGACAGAATGGCCTAATTCTGCTCTGTGCCTGACAGAGTGAGCCGAGGGAGGTGTACCGAGCCATAAAGGCTGAGTTTGCAGTGCACGGACCGCAGGGGTACAAGAAGGCAGCTCCTGCAACACCACCTCAAGGGGCAATTAGGGATGGGCAATACACACTGGGCCTAGCCAGCGACACCCGTGAAAGAATTTAAAAGCCACACGTTGAGCTCGCAATGTTTGCAGCCAGAGGGGGAGAGGTCGTTTCTCCCTTGTGTGGGAGAGTCTAGGACCAGAGGGGCATCATTTCGAAGTAAGGGGTCGCCTACTGAAGACAGAGGTGGGGAGGAATTTCTTCTCTGAGTAGGGAGTGAATCTGTGGAATTCTTTGTCGCAGAGAGCTGTCGGGGCTGGCTTATTCAAGACAGATTTTCTTAATCAGGAAGGGAATCAGGTTATGGGGAAAAGTGGATTTGAAGATGATCAGATCAGCTGTGAATGGTGCAGCAGGCCCGATGGGCTGAATGGCCTGTTTCTGCTCCTCCATCTTATGGTCTCAAGCGATCCACCTTTTGTGGTTGCTCTCCAGACCTCAGAGTATCCCCAAGCCCGGCCCCTCTATTATCCCAACGTCAACGGCAGGGGGATTACAGCCATGTTCCTCCTGATGCTGGGAAGGAAACAGGGATTACAGCCATGTTCCTCCTGACACTGGGAAGGAAACA